GTGAGAAGCCTCGTGTGGGAGCACACCGAGCTTGCAGGAGGGTTCAGCCTTGAGCAGGAGGCATCAGGGCCATCTGGCACGGTGGCATGTGCTCCTGCCAGGGCACAGCCATCCCATCTGGGAACCAGTGAACAACAAACCTGCCTTCCTGCTGCAACAACTCCTTTGGAATATTTGGCTGAATATGCAGTGCTTTGGGGTCCTTCTAAGGCACTAGGTCCCAGTGTTTMAGGAATTGTGGGCCACCCAAGCCCTAGAGAGCCCCTCTGGTGTGGCAGTGCCTGGGCTCTGCACAAAGCTGCCCCACCCCTGCTGCTATTGCTGACAGAAGGATCACAGTTCTGGGAAGCTTCCAAACCCCTCCAATTCCCCTGCTTATGGTGGTGGTGGAAATGGAGAAGAGGGCTCTCTCTTTAAATTAAAGGACAGAAAAATTACTGAATCTCAAAATCCCAAACACATTTTTCCTGGGCTGACAAATCCATAGGTGCCAACACCACAGAGGACAACTGTGAGGGCTAGGGCTGGCCCTGCCCAGGACTGACCCACCAACAAGCTGTAATGTTCCTGTTAAACCATTGCATCCATCTTTCTTAGCCCTTAGTTGTGGCTTTTGTGGGCCCCTAGAAAAATATTTCCAACTCCCTCTCATTTAGCCTTCAAATGCTCTGTTCACATTTGATYCCATTTGTTCCTTAGCAACAAGCTCCATTCCCAGGCTCTCTTCTTTCCCTCCCGATATTTGTCTTCACCCTGAACACTTTTGGAATGGCTGCCTAAATTCAGAGTTATCATTTTCTGGTTGAAACCCTCAGCCTGTGGTTAAGCTGATTCACAGAAACACAAAAATAAATCAAGGCTACACAGTGTCACCATTAATCACCCCATGGAATGRTTTGGGTTGGAAGGGACCTTAAAAGTCATCCAGTTCCACCCCATGCCCTGGGCAGAGACACCTCCCACTACAACCGGTCATTCCAAGCCTTGTCCAGTTAAAAACCTCATTTCTGCCCTCCTTGTGCCCAGCATAGAGTGTGACCCTCACCCTGTGTGAGGGAGCTGCAAATCCCAGAGATGAGGCAGAGTTAAACTGTCCAACGCTCCTTCCTCACTCTGAGACCTCTCCAAGCAATGGAATTCTCATCCATGGAGCTGAGCCCACACAGACACACCCATGGATCTTCTGTGAGCAGGAGCACACCCATCGCTCCTGAGCAGGCTGAGGTGTCTGGGGGCACCTATGCCCAGCTCTCACCACTCTGCAAGACACTGGGACCGCCCCAGCGCTCCCTCTCACCTCAGACCAGTTCCCCACGGCCCACTGGGAGGGACAGGGGACCTCTGGGTGACAGGGCTTGGTGGCATCCGGCTTGGAGAGGTGCTGGCAGTCCGCTGGCGGCAGGGCCCTCTGCTCGTCCAGCCCCACGCTCTGGATGCACAGCACCGTCCTCTTCATCAGCCCTGGCTGGCCACACGTGGCTGAGCACTTGTGCCATTCACCCACCCACCATCTGCAGAGAGGGAAGGGAAAGGGGAGAGGGGAAAGGGGAGAGAGGAAAGGGGAATGGGGAAAGATCTCAGCCAGAGCAAGAGGCCACACACCAGGGTCTGTCCCATAGCCCATCACATGGAGCCACAGGGAAAGGAGGATCCCAAATGTGTCAGTCCAAGGTCTGGGAGCCTGGACAGAGGGTCAGGGATRGGACAGTCCCCAGGCTGTGCCAGGGTTATGTGCACACAGGAGCATCCTGCCAGGATGGTGCCTCCCATGAGGCTCTGCCTGTGGACGGGCAATGCCCTGCAGTGGTCAGGCAACACCAGGGATGCTGCCATGGACCAACCCCGAGGCCTGGGAGCCCCGTCAGGGTGAGGGAGAGGGAGGAGCAGGGCAGGGGCACACCTGGCYGGGCAGGGATCCTCGCTGCAGGTGCGCTGCTGGTCGTCGGGGCGGGTGAGTGCATCGCAGAACCGCTCCTCCACCAGGCCCGCCAGCCGCTCCACGCAGTGCACGATCTGCCGCTGCACCCCTGCGGGCAGGACGGACACTCTGGGCACCCTGAGGGCACTGGCAGGAAGGACACTCTGGGCACCCTAAGGGCACTGGCAGGATGGACACTCTGGGCATCCTGAGGGCACTGACTGGGCACGGGCACCGGCTCGGCTTTGGCAACTGAACCGAACCACCCAGCACCCTCTGGCAGCTCTTGGTGAGCCTGAGCCACCAGAAGAGGGGAAATAAAATGAAACCCCCACTTGAAGCCATAAGTTGGTTTGTGCTGAAGGTGCTGTGCCCTCCCAGAGCCCCAGGGCAGCGGTGCAGCTGGGGCAGGGGGCAGCTGGAGGGGCTGCAGCCACAGAGCTGCTCTGTCCGGGCACCGCTGCTCAGAGCCATCTGCAGCCACCGGAGCTGCGTGCATGGGGTCTCTGGGGGCAGGGGGAGCCAAGGGGCAGCACCCAGTTCTCCTGGWAGCATTGCCCCAGCCCAGCTCAGGGATAATCACTGACCAAAGCCTCGTGTCCCCAGTCTGCTCACAGTGCATTTTAAGGGTGACCTCACCATGCTGCCTCGCTCCGGCTTCTGTCCCCATTTCTGTAACACATACTTGACCTGTGACATGGAGAGCTGTCACCACCAGCTCAGCTGAGACTGACAGAACCCTGCTGCTGAGCTGGGAGCTTATGGGGCACTGGGACTGACCAAAGGCTCAGTGTGAGCTCTCCCAAATCYATGTCTCGGCTCACACCATCATGCAGGCCAGGGAGAGGGGCTCAGCACTCCTCCAGCTGCTCACCCTCACCMGACTCCTGCCTGATTCACTCCTCTGTTTCCTGTCTCTTCTGGAAGCCAAGCACTCAAACCATACAAAGGAAAGCTGGTTTTAAACAAAGCCCATGTCCTGGCACTCTKTGCTACCTAGAAAGCACAAGTGTCCTTGAATTCCCCTTTTTTCCAGTGCCAGCTGCTCTCGAGGAAGTGCTTGCTGGTCCCAGCCTCCCTCGGCAGTGCTCCTGGAATGTCCCTCTGCACCAGCTGCCCCAAAAGCTGCCCTGGGGACCCTGAGACACCCAGCCAGTTTGCAGTGGGGCAGGATGGGCGGGAAGCAAACATCTGCTCATGGACAATGTGCGACCCCAGTGCTCTGCCTAAAACCCTGGATATTCTCCCCCTTGGAGGGGCCCAGCCAGGCAGGAGACCAGCCCTTCCACAGTCCCTGATTTCTCTAAAGCTCTTTTGTCTCCATCCTGCGCCGGGTAACAGGACACCGAGCCGGCAGCAAAGCGCTGATAAAGCCCTGGGGTTCCTGGTGAGCGCCGAGGGGGCACCGCAGCCGTGACCTCAGCAGATGGCCCTTTTTTCTTCCCCTAAGACCTTGTGAAACCCAAGCCCCAGGAATTTCTCAGGCTCCCGAGGAAGCTCTGCTGCTCAGAGCAGGCATCCTGTGAGGCTGTGCTCACCTGTCCCACAGGTGGCCGTGCAGGTGGTCCAGGAGCCGAAGCGCCACAGGAACTCAGGCTGCTCGATCTCGTTCTCGCTGTCGGCTGGGCGCTGGATCGTGTACTGGTACCTCACACCGGGGTTGGTCTCCTGGAACAGCAGCTTGGGGACACAGGGGATACTCAGGGAGTGGCCAGGCGGGGCAGTGGGGGATGGCATTGTCCCGGAGGCTTCTCAAGAGGGAATAGCCTGCCCAGCAGGGCCAGAAGGACGGGGACTCTGTGCCTAGCCCTGCACCAGGGCTGGGTGGGACTCGGATCARCCTGGTCTGTGGAAGGTGTCCCTGCCCCACGGGTGGAATTTCCTAAATTGTTCACCACGCCAAACAGGCTCCTGCAGCTCCTGTGGTTGACACAAGTCCTGCTCAAAGCACCTCCCACACCCGCGCTCGCCAGGGCCAGGAGTTCATCCCTGTTTTTCTTAGCCTAAGCACTCCCATTATTGCCAAAGCTTTGTTGTTCTTGGAGCTTTGGCAGGAGCCAGGGCGTCTTTCCAAAAMCTCTCCATGAATATCGAAACATCCTTGTGCAAAGGTTTTAATTAGGCTATGGATCCCAGAAAATGACTTGTGGGAGCCGAGCGTGCCAGCGTTCCCATTAACGGCAGCCCTCGGCGGCAGCGGGGCCAGGATCCCGCTCACGCCCCGCCCTGAGCTGCTGCTGGAGGGAAGGCAGAAGGAGAAGGTTCCGGCTGCTCAGGGTGGCCGAGCTCTGGGTGAGCCCATGCAAGGGTGGGGATGCTCCGGGCAGTGTGTCAGGCTGGGCTGTGACCACCGGGGCAGGGGGGTCCTGGGGGTCCATGGGATGCAGCTCCATGGCCATCCCCATCCCTGCACCACACCTGGMACCGTGAGGGATTCCAGCCTGGTGTCAGCTGTGCCATCATCCATGGGACAATTCCCAGTGGTTTCTCCAAAGGACGGCTTGACCCACGGCCACAAGGATATTGATCCCAAGAGCTCTGCATGAACTGGCAGCTCCCTCACTGACCATCCAGCCCAGCCAGAAGTGCTGGGGACTCTTCCCTGCTCTTGATAAGATATGGGAAAGGCCTCAGGAAATGGCTCTTTCTCCTCACACTCCCTCTCCTATGTAAATACTTGGTGGAATGCTGCAGAGGGGATGAGGCTCAGCTGGAAGTGCTGTGGGCTGCAAACACTCCCCGGGCCGGCAGCAGCAGCGTGTGCTTGGCTGGCTCCTGGAGAAACACCCTGAGGAGGTGCAGAGCCCATCCCTTGGAGGAGGGGAGGGACAGGGAGCACCTATGGCAGCTCAGCCCCACAAGGAAGGCAGGATCCATCATACCTGGATCCACACGGGCTCCACGGTGGGCCCCGGAGAGGTGAGGTTCTCCCAGTTGCCCGTCCTCTTGTAGGTGAAGGTGGTCCCTGCCACCCTGTAGTCCCCGTTCCACTGGATGGTCCAGCCGCCATTCAGGAAATACTTCTCTGGGTCCTCGCTCCGCAGCGCCAGGAAATTCCCAGCTTCTGCCACTTCTTCAATCTGGATCTCCCGGGCTCCCACGGGGATAATCCCGATGTCGACATAACCTGGGAACAGAACCAAGCGTTGGTCTTGGCAGAGTCAGAGGCATCTGAGATGACTTTTGTCCTTGGGTGGGTGCCAGTRTCCCCTGGGTAAGTGCTGTGTGCCCTGGGTGCCAGCATTGTGCCAATCCTTACACCTCTGCACAGCACCAGCAGGCACCAAACCTGACCTTGCTCTGAGCCCATCTGAGTTCCTGCTCTCTTATCCCCAAAAAATCGACAAGTTGGGATTAACAGCCCTCTCCAAAGGAGCGCAGCAGCAGCAGCAGCAGCAGCCTGGCCACACTGGAGCAGGCACATGGTGCTCTGGGGACAGCAGGAGGTGACCTTACCCAGCCCCTCGCTGTCCTCGAAGGTCTTGTGGATGGTGTGGCAGGTGGAGCCGTCCCCGTGGCAGACCCCGCACCGATCCTCCACYGCGTGCGAGTCGATCTCGTAGTCACAGCCCACGTTCTGCAAGGCAGCCCCATCAGCCCCGCACCAGCATCTCCCAGACACTCACTGCACCAACTGCACCATCTCCAAGGGATTCACAKAATCATGGAATGCTTTGGGTTGGAAGGGATGTAAAAACAATCCAGTTCCAGCCCCCGCAGCCTTCCCCTAGACCATGCTGTCCAGCCTGGCCTGAGCTGTGTCCTGTCTCCTTGAGGCCAGCACAGAGGCTGACACAGCCCACACCACACACCCCACAGAAATCAGGAACATTTTCCAAATGGGGAATGATGAAAGGAGAGAGCTTGGCATGTGAGGGATGGGAGCTGAGCAACCAGGGGTGGATCCTGCCCCAGCCGTGTTTGACATGCCTACCTTGCAGATGCCATTGATGCAGACATCGCGGCTGGTGTCGCTGTCGTAGCAGGGTGTCCCGTCCACCACGGCGTCACGCAGCTTCTCCGCAAAGTACTCGTGCTCGGGCCGGCAGTGCAGCTCGCAGGGGTTCACTGGGGAACAGGCACACACTCAAGCCCAGCACCCGGGGCCGCCTCCGAAAACACAAATCAACCCTGCAAGCCCGGCCACAAYGTAAAATACAAAATACAGCGTGAGCAGGCTGCGAGGCAGCGCTGGGACACACAGCCAGCCCCGGCCGTTTGCGGGGCCATGCCCAAGCGCTGTCGGCTCTGAGCTCTCTGTCCCCACTCACTGTTGTGGGGCACYGGGGTCCACTTGTAGAGCTTCCCTTTGTAGGGCATGGGGTTGAACTGGCTGCACTGGACCTGGCGGAAGGAGGGTTTGTCCRGGGGACACGGCTTCACGTTGCAGATCCGGAACCGCTTCCGCTCCCCCAGGCAGTACCGACCACCATACTTGGGGCTGGRGGAGGGAAAACCAGCAGTCACAGAGGGGCTTGGGGTGAGAGACAGAGAATCAGAATCACTCAGAGTGGTTTGGATAGGAAGAGACCTTAAARCCCTTCCTGTCCCAGYCCCTGCCATGGGCAGGGACACCTTCCACTGACCAGGTTGCTCCAAGCCCTGTCCAGCTTGGTGCCCATCCCATCCTCTGGAGCAGCTGCCCTCCGCCCCATCCCAGGTATCGTCCTGACCCTGTTGCCCCAGGGAATGGCAAAGCTGGCACTGGGCTTTTTAAAGCAAGAGAGACTCAAGAAGCATCAACCATTTCTTTCTCAGATGCCAACAGACTCTCAYAAGACAGTCACCACCTCCCACCTCRCTGCCTTTTCCTTTCGGTCACACCACTCTCCATGGCCCGTGGCCCAGTGAACTCATGAAAATTCCTCCTCCTGGGCACTCTTTGCTGAAGAGAATGAAGCTAATGATTATTTTAGGGCTGTTTACATGCCCTGCCCTGAGGGAATGGCTGTGAGACACATTTTCTCACTCCATCCCAAGGGCAAAGCTGGAGATTTACCTCCAGAGGCCAAAGCAAACAACTGCCCGGGAAACTCCCAGTGTTTGCTCTCCTGCCTGTCCACAGCTGTGTTTGGAACGCTCCATGAATGACTACGGCACCTCTGTCATGGAGCTCACGTCAAACACAAATCCAGGTCTTGATCCAGGACCRAGATGACAGAGCACTTCCTCAAGAGCCCAACAGCACGTGCCAGACTCGCCTGAGGAAGAGGGTGGGCACAGCACATCTGGGCACATCAGGAGCCCAGTCCTGGGGCTGCCAGAGCTCCTCATGCCATGGAAAAGTGACTGCCCTGGAACATCACTGGAAAGCCCTTTTCCTCCCCATCCCAGGGTACTCTGACACCAGGGAAAGCTGGGGGTTTTGGCTGAATCCAGTGCAACAGTGATTTGGTGACAAGGGGACATCTGGGGAGCAGATGGGCCAGCCCAGGAATCCCAGGATGGAGATGGCAGCTCCTCTGGCAGTGCCTGGACACTTCCAGGCAGGAGCCAGTGCTGGCCTGTGGAATGCAGCAGGGTGATAAACTGCAGCAGGATTTTTCAAAACAACTCTGAATCAGGCTCCAAGAATGCCTGGTTTGCTGTTCTGTCACTAAAGGACACTGGATATGTTTTACATCTCTGAGCAGAGTCTCTGCCCTTTGTTTGAGTGACACTGCAGCATTTCCAGCCTGCACGGAACGGGCAGGACACGTGGAGGGAGCCAGAGCAAACCCGGCCAGTCCAGAGGCTCCCATGGGTAATYCCATGAAATTAATGCCCTGATGTTCAAAAGCCCATCGTTCAGACCAATAACTGCACAATGGACTTGGGACAAGGGATGGAAGGACAGGAAAACRGGCAATGGCTTTCCACTGCCCAAGGGCAGGGACAGATGGGATATTAGGAATAATATTTCCTTGTGAGGGTGGGGAGGCCCTGGCACAGGCTGTCCACAGAAGCTGTGGCTGCCCCTGGATCCCTGGCAGTGTCCAAGGCCAGGCTGGATGGGGCTTGGAGCACCCTGGGACAGTGGAAGGTGTCCCTGCCCAGGGCAGGGRGTGGAATAAGGTCCCTTCCAACCCAAACCATCCCAGGATCCTGTGACTCCTGCCTGGTGTCCCAGGGATCAGGGCTGGCTTACGTAGGGTGGTTGCACTGTCTCTCAGCGCTCTGCACTCCGGCACCACAGCTGCGGGAACAGGAGGCCCAGGAGCTCCAGGAGCTCCAACCACCATCGATAGCCTCRGGCCGGTATCCCACAGGAACACACTCGCCGTTGAAGCACCACTGCGGAGGGACAGGTGGGAGCAGGAGAACACAAGGTTAAGGATGGGGAGCACTGAGGCCCAGAACATTTTCCTGTGGAAATCAGGCCATGGCGGCGTGTCTCTCCTGTTACCTTGTTGTCCCCGCATGCTGTGCCGTCAACAGCCGCGTCCAGCTTGGAATGGCACGTGGTCCCTACAGTGCACCACAGCGTGTTGCAGACACTCTATGGGAAACATAGTGACATGGTTCCTGCCTGGCACAGACCTTTCCCTCCAGCAGGAAGGGCATGGCCCAGCAGAGCTCCCCAGCCCAGCAGTGCCCCCCAGCCCAGCAGAGCTCTCCAGCCCAGCAGAGCCCCAGCCCAGCAGAGCCCTCCAGCCCAGCAGAGCCCTCCAGCCCAGCAGAGCCCCCCAGCCCAGCAGAGCCCCCCAGCCCAGCAGAGCCC